GGGTCCTACTTGCGCGTCCCTAGTTGGACTTCTAGGGTTTTATTGTGTATGTATTAGGCATATGACTGTATCCATATACCTAACTTAAATACCTGTATATCTATAATTACATGTTCCTACAGTGGGAAGCCCGGCCAGCCGAGGCGGGCGCGCGCTAGCGTTTACAATTAGGGACACCTTTTGGGGGTCCCTATATTAAGGACTGTAATATTTTGGGGTCTATATTGGGGTCCCGCTATGTCGGGAAACGACCATGTAGCCCCAGAGACATTTCATCCTTTCATCCCCTTGAGGACAGCACGACAAAAAGAAGTGTAGAAACGCGCACATCTCAAACCAGCAGCAGAAGTCACGCGGGGCCCACGGGCTGCGCGGATGATATCCTGGCAGCATTCGTAGCTACGGGCTTCGCATCCTAGCAGACGTGTGCATGGCAAGAATTGCAATGGGAGAAGCTGAGAGAATTTTCAACCCTTTCGGCGTCTGCGTACTTATGTAAGTAGGCTTTGGACTAAGGAGTTTAGGGTTTAGGCTGTGAAGATCTCCCCCGGCGAAGATGTCGCAGAAAGGGTGTGTTGATTTGCACTTTTCCCGTAAGAAGTGGCAACCGCAACTGTTGCACGTGAACAGGATGTTCGGCACATCGAGTTCCCAGAACGGACAAATGAGAGGGTACGCTTCTTCTCCGTGGTTCAACGAGTTGCCTTCAAATCAAGTCAGCACACCAGTATTTACAAATTTGCATGGTGAGCAAGGGCTCTCCCCTGGTGCTTGTTGCAGTTGCTGTACACTGCTGGAGGATGCCTGCCAAAATCTGGAGGGACTGCTACTATACAGATACACCTACCTTCTCTCCAAACTTTACTGCCTGGTCCCCTGAAGGGAACTTCAGACAAAACCCCAAACCCTAAAGCTCCTCACAACTCAGACACCACAATACTCAGGGAAAGATGTACCTTGGCAAGCAGGGAACAAAGAAATGGAACCTTACAGTCGTCCCTATATAACCCCCAACAGTACACTAGTTTGCTTTTCCATTCTTTCATTCCCTTCTACCCTATACCCTAAACCCTGAAACCTTAAACGCTAACCAGAGCTAAGAGGACTGAGCCTGCCACTGCGAGTCCGGTATGGCTTGGTTGAAATGCATGTGCTCACCTGGACCACGAAACGTGGAGTTCAGATTTCATGAGCTTCCGAAACACCACGCCCCGTCTTTGCTTAGGCCTTCATAAAACCAACTCAAAGGAACCTTGTGAGGGGTTGCGTACGGGGTGGTAACGCAACCCGTGCAGATTGTGAGACGCAAGGTTTGGAGTAATACAGCACTCTCCTAACAAGATGCAGCAAGCTGATGGTCTACTCTGGGGGTGACTTTTGGGATCCTCTCTGATAGCCATAGAATGCAAGGCGTGTCTGCCCTACATGATCTGACCCCTTTACGTGAGAGGCTGTTCATACAACTATTCCTCAGTTGATGGAACCAAGTAGGATCCCATAGGGAAGCCATACTATACTAGAACCCACATATAGAAGATAGGGACCCGTCATTAGTCTCCCAAACTCGCCACGTAAACACAGGGAGAATGGCCTTGAAACCACGCCCACAAGCCTTTGGTGGCCGAGAAGTTCCAAGGGCCCACCTTTGCTTTCCGCCAAGGAGAATGCCTATAGGGATTCTAGGAGGAGTAGATGGGTATTGTATCGTGCTCATGTAGAGATTATGGGGTATATATAGGGATTGTACAAGGATTATGTGCGATTCTATGGAGATCTGCTATGGATATATAAGCATATATTGGAGACATATAGGGAATATATGGGAAGCTTAACCCAAAAATGGAGAATCAAACGGAAAGAAATGGAAGCTGGGTTTGTATGAGCTGTAGTCCAAACTCCGAGTATCCCGCCCGAAATAGCCTTAGAAGATTCCCCCGTATAATCCCCTATATGACCCCCTTTTCGGAGTTTAGACTCTAAACCCTATAATCCCCCTATATATCCCCCTTTACGGAATTTTGACTAACCCGAAATAGTCCCCCTAGATACCCCCCCTTTCAGGAGTTTAGATTACAGTTCATGTGGAATTTTCTAGGGAGTGTAATGGGGACCTCGATGTTTGGACTAGGGTCTCGGCGGCAAGGCAGCTGGGTCAAGTGGGTTCGGATTTAGGATTTCGGGTTTAGAGTTTAGGGTTTAGGGTCTGAACTCACACAGGCCAGGGTTGCCTGCAGACAGATATCCCTACATTATCCCCAAAATTCCCCTAGATAATAATTTCCATTTCCTTTCCATTATCCCAATATAATATGTCCCGAACATATCCCCTAGTCCTCATAGTTTGAAACAGTTCAACCTCCACGGATTACAACACGCGACGCCAAACCAACCAGCCATCCTGCCGCTGTTTCTAGTAGCAGGCCATACAACTCTTTTAAGAACCCTGGTAGGATGACAGCATCCCTTGTGTCGACATACAACCCTAAACCCTAAACCCAAAACCAAAAACCCTAAACGTGATGTGGGAAAAAGGATCGCTTGGTACATGTCCCGTGCAACGGGCCTATGAGAATATGCCTCTCGTGCCCCGCTCCAACCTGACCTGAGCAAAAAGCGCAGGCAAACACTCCTCACTTGGAGGGTCAGGGGGACTTAGTAAGTAGGTTTATAATTCCTAAAACCCATATAGATTAATAGATCATATAGTAACCCTGATCGTCCCCATTATTGGCCTACTTACTAAGTCCCCCTGACCTTCCGAGACCCTGTTCGGAAATTCTCCCAAAGTCCGAAAGCAAAGCAGTAAACTCAAAACTAGTTCCATGGATTTAGGGATTTAGGGGTTTAGGGTTTAGGGATTTAGGGATTTAGGGATTTAGGGTTTAGGCCCAGGAACATAATTGAAGTCGTAGATGAAATCCTCTGTCCAAAAGGGAGCCTCAGGATGCTTCGCCAGAGAATTTGATGGGTTCAACTAGTACCCCCCCTCTATACTACCCCCCTAGGGTT